GTTGCCTGAGAAGATGTGGAGCGATGGTCCTGCTTCTTAGTTTGTTTGTCTAGTAATTTTCATGAACTCTTTAGGAGTTTGTTGCCATTTGTTAGTTTTATTTCTTTTTAGTTTTCGGCTTTTGATATAGACTGATAGTTTCTGTCGGTTCACGGCAGATTTATATTTTAGGTTTGAGTAGCCGTGCTTTTTTTTTTAGATCAAGAATTTTAATCAGTTTGTAGATTGTGCATGATCTCTGCAAATCAATTCAACTTGTTGTTGTGTTTAGTCATTGGAGAAGATTTATAAATCTTTGGCATCATAGTGGCTTTGTACTTGTTTTTATTCGTCTTATCAATAAAGTACTCTCTAGATCTCTCTCTCTCTCTCTCTCTCTCTCTCTCTCTCTCTCTCTCTCTCTCTCTCTCTCTCTCTCTCTCTCTCTCTCTCTCTCTCTCTCTCTCTCTCTCTCTCTCTCTCTCTCTCTCTCTCTATATATATATATATATATATAAAATAAAAATTATCTTCATCATGTTACAAGAGAAAACCTAAATACTCTTTGAGAAAACTCTAAGGAAAAAGGTCTCAGTCGCCGCCCCCTTTGGGGTAGGTGGCTTCCCTCCCTACCACCTTCTCCTCTCCTTCCCTCCCTTTCCTCAGGATCTTCTTTGTTAGTTTGTTTTGCGATGTAGAAGTAGCCACCATGAAATGTTGGCTCAAGTTGTCAACCTTCGACATATAGTTTGGAGCTACAAAGAAGGGGAGAAGTTGGATTACGTTGGGAGAGTTTAGTCAGTGCGACACTATGGGTTTAGCTGGTATGCTGCTATGGCTCTCTTCAGGTTGCCTAGGAGGATGTGGAGTCATGGTCTTACTTCTTATTTTTTTTAGTCTAATACATTTCAAGAACTCTTTAGGAGTTTGTTGTGATTTGTTTTTTATTTAGGATGTTTTATATATTTGTAGTTTTCGGCTTTAGATACGGATTTTTCGTTTATACCGACCGTTGCTTTGAACATATTGCATATATAAATTCAACATGTTGTTGTGTTTGGTCACTAAGCACATATTACTTTGTACTTTTGTTTGTTCATCAATAAGAACTATCGCTTCTTATAAAAATAAATAAAAATTCTTTGTACTTTTTATATATATGCAACTTGATTTTAAATACTGCAATTTTGGGTTTCAAATTCTAATCAGCCCCTTGTTAGTACTGTTTCATAAACAAAAGACATGTCTAAACGGAAAAAAAACTTTAGTGTGATTGTCATACTACCACATGATTTAACTCACCTACATGTTATATATGTACAATATTTCTTTTTTACTTCACATGTTATAATATGAATAAATTGGTCACATCACATATGACGTTATAAAGTCCTAGATTTGATTCTCCACTTCCCCAATATCGCTTGTATTAAAAAAAAAACAAAAAAGACGGACTTTTTTTTTTTTTTTGGTCTGATAAAAAAGACGGACTGTGATGCCGGTTCATGTGGACTAGGTTTACTCCAATGTGCCTCTGCCCATTTTCGGATGGGAGTGTGGGGAGGAACCAAAAAAACACAGTCATAAATAAACCATAAGAAATACCTCAGTTTGGTCCTACTTCTAGTTCGTTTTGAAACCTAAAGTTTCGTTCTATTTATAAACAGTAATAAATTTCCGTCAAGCTTTATTTTACATACTAGTTGTTTTCAAGCACAATCGCCTCTAAAGCAATTTAGCATTTGTATCTTGCTAATTTGTTGCATATCCTTTTTTATAAGATAATATTGGACACATATCAAATACAGTGTGATTATCAAAAACAATTATATAATGTGTTTTTTTTTCCACCACGAGGTCACATACACTTAGATATGTAGAAAAAATTTCTAACGCAAATAAAATTGATTATCATGAAAATAATCAAATCGTATATCTATTTTAAAGGTTTATTTTGTTTCTACATAGATGATCGGGCCTTAAAATCAATAATTCGTAATATAAAAGCATTTTATGGGGTGGGGCAGAAATATTAGTTTTGTATTAAGTTATGTTGCGGGGTTCGCTATGAATTATATTCCAATCATCCAAACTACGGTTTCAAATTTGAGTGGTTTTGTGTGTGTGTGTAGAGATACCTAAAAATTAAACAATTTGGATCATTAAAATACAATGTATAGTGTGCACTACAAGAATGTCCTTCAAATAAGGTTATTTGAGAACTGAATTTTACTTCGCTTCAGTTCCTTTCCATCAAGGGACACCTTTGAGGGTCCACCACGAAATTCAAACCTTCTATTCAAGTCTTCAATTATGTGATGGTAGGAATTCTTTTGCTTCAATGGGGCTGAAAAATTCCATTGATCTACATCGGGTTAGGAGGAATTGAATTGAGGAAGAGTATGATTGAGGAGAGTTGGAATCCAGATTCCTTTTAAAGTTGTTTATTAAACTTAAAATATATATATATATGTGGAATCAAAGTAGGAATGGTATTATTGATTCCTTATAAGTTGTTTACTAAGGGCATGTGTACATATCAATAATGGGTATGAAAAGAAAGGGAATGATTTCCATTCCTGATTCCCCCCGCATTTACTTGCAATCGTGAAAGAAAAAAAGTGTGTGCCCCATCTCAAAATTCGTAATCTCATCCCCTCAAAACTAGAAATCAAATCAGTTAAGAGGGGGTAGTTGATCAGATTCTCATTCCTTTTTTCCATTACTACCTTCCGAAAATACTCTTACCACTTTACAATAATTCCAAAACACCAAATTACGGTTGGAAAAATCAAAAAATTTCCCTTTTCACTAGGGTTGCTAACCTCTACTTGTCTTGTTATGCTCCTTATCACTGTGTCATATTTGTTTCTTTTTTTCTATTATATCACTTGTATTATTATATATTAGTTTTTTCATCACTCGTCATATAGTATCATATATTATGTATTAGTTGTAAAATAAAGTTTTGTCAATTTGCTTTTTTACTAGTTACTTAGGTGAAAATTATATATTTATATGTGCAGAGCATTTTAGTAATCAAATTAGTTTAGGTTATGATTCATGAGAATTAGTAAATATTGACAATGAGAATCAACTCCATTCATGTGTTGATTCAATACGGTTAGTAAATAGCTTAATGGGAATGATTCTTCTCATACAGATTCATTATTTCCCCGATTCCTAAATTCTCTGATTCCTCACTTCCTACATTCCTGGTAATTAAACAGCCCCTAAATTCTCATGATTTGGAATTAAAACTAGCCTGGTTACTAAACTGCACTTGTTCTAAATAAAATATTAGGTTAAAGTGGATTAAAAATTTGAAATTTTAAAATTTGTGTGAGAATATAATAGACGAAAAATATGAATTCCTGATGGGGGCTAGTCCTCTAGAGTCCAATTTCTCCAAAATCATATGAGTTGAATTTATGATTTTGTGTAAGGCCTACTTGCTTTTCTATTTCTTTATGTGAAGTAAACACATGAGTAATCAAGAAACCCTAGCCGCTCTCTCTCTCTCTCTCTCTCTCTCTCTCTCTCTCTCTCTCTCTCTCCACCCCCCACCACCTGACACACCCCCTCTACTCCTCCCCCAGAGTCCTAAAGGAAAACTCCATAGAAGGGGGAGGAGGAAGAAGCGTCACTGCCTCTCCTCCTCCTACTCTTTTCTCATCTTTTCCCTTTAGGTTAGTGAATAAGTCCACTGGGATGTTTTGAAAAAAAAGCCCATTATGGTGGTTTCTTTTGAGCCACATTGTTAGATTGAAGTTCCTCATCACCCATTTTAGTTTATGTCCTCAATTAAATCCTGCTCCCAAAACCCACTCCCTAACGTTGCTCATGTTCTTTAAATTTGATTCTACATTGTCTTTGACGGAGATTGTTGCAAATCACTTAATTGTTCTTTGGTAAAGTTGTTGTTTTCGTGTATTTGTTCGCTCTTATGCGCAGGTAGATCGCTGAAAATCATATTTTCCCCAAATTTGTTATGAATGACGTGGTGGGTGTGGCCGCGACAGAGCTTCTTCAGGTGGTGGTGTTAGGGTTTGTCTAGGCTCATTGGTTGTTTTAGGGTTATGTTGGGTTTGTGGGCTTTGTTTGGCTTATGGTTAATTGTGGTGATGTGGGCTAGTAGTTTTAGTGTGGCTTTTGTCTGCGTTAGTTTTGTTTTGAGCATGTTAGTTTGTTATGCTATTGGGATTTGTATTTTAGATGTCTTATTGATGTCTTTGATTATACCGTTGAAGTTTATCTAATAAAGTTTCTATTTGATTAAAAAAAAAACACATACATGAGTAATCCATAATGGGAATTCAACTTCTTATTTTGATTCCCATTACAATTAGTAAATATGGCTAAAAATAGTGTTGTCCTGCTAGTGTATGAATGGCTTTCCATTCGACTATAATTTGGTCTGTTGTTTGAAAAAAAAAAAAAAAAAACTTTATAAGGCAACTTTACCACAATTAGAAGCAAATCAGAGGGAAGAACATGGAAAAAATAAATATTGACTTTGTTCTCTCAGAAACAAGAAACTATTGACTGTATTAATATCTCCCATCCTAGCGAATCCCTAAAATTTAGAGGAAAAAAAAATCCCCAAAATGTTGATGCCCACAATACACAATTTTATACGGAAGAATTGAATATAATTTTAAAATTTTAAAACCCAAACGCCAAACGCAAGTTTAACGCACAATTTTTTATGCCCACAATACACAAGTTCAACGCTTCCCCTTCTAAGAGATCTCGTCCGTCGGCTGAGATCCACGGTCGTGAATTCGGACGGTCGAGATCAAGCTTAAGTCGGCAAATCCACGTGTGGCCCTACCTATTTGAATTTGAAAAAAAGAAACGTTAGGATTTCGTAGCCTCAGGTTCGGAGCCGTGCCTACATTGAGCCCAAAAGCCAAGAACCCAAGAACACATGCCATTGTTGCCTCCTTCTAGACTGTAGACTCTCTCTCTCTCTCTCTCTCTCTCTCTCTCTCTCTCAATCTGTATCGGCCACCACCAACCCCACCTCTCTTTCTCTCTCTTCTGGATTGTGGGGTTTTCGCGTTTCGGAGAAGGACCCAGATAAAGAAGCAAGTATGTTATTGAATTTTCTCTGTTCTTCTCTCTGGGTCTGTGTCATTCTATGTTGTTTATTTATAAAGATTTTTCGTGGGTTTTCTATGGGATGTAATGTAGTTTCATTCTCTAAATTTTCAGGAAACAATGGAGGACAGTGCAACGACTGGGTTGCATGATTTTACTAGGGCTTCAAGAAAAGCCGAAGAAGCAGGTTGGTTGGTTCATTAAGTCATTTCCATTTTTATTTTAGAGTATGTCTGTTTGCTTTCTCAGAATGTCATAGGAAAAAGAAAAAGAATTAAAATTTGGAATAGGGTGTGGCTATGTCGGAATGGGTTTCCAAGATTTGAACAAATATTGTTAACTAATAGAAGTTGTGTTGTATTTGGCTCAGTTGAATTGTGGGATTATTTTCTTGGTTCGGAAATTACAGAGAAATCTGAGATTTATGAATCTTTTCCCTGCATTTTTTCTGAAAACAAACAAGGGCACAGTTGTTGACTTTTCAAGAATCGTTAAATCATTCAAATTTTAATTTCTGAATTTTGGCAGCTTGGAGGCGATTCCAAGCTGTTGAATGGCTTGAAACCTTGGTGGGTCCACTTGGCATACCAAAACAACCATCGGAGAGAGAGTTCATTTCTTGCTTGAGAAATGGTCTGATCCTATGCAATGCCATCAACAAGATTCAACCAGGAGCGGTGCCCAAGGTATTACATTTGTATCTCAGATTACACTATTTTGATTCCCTCTCTTTGGAAAGAAACTGATATACTGAATTTTATTGCTGATTTATTTTTGAACTGTAAAAATTGGCATATGTTCTTGTATAAAAAGACACACATGTATAAGCTCCTAAGCTTCTATTTATGTCAGTTTCTTACTACTTATTTATCATCATTATTATTTTAAGGTTGTGGAGAGCCAAATGCCTTTGCAACCATTAAGTCGGGAATCTCAAGCATTGCCTGCATATCAGTATTTTGAAAATGTTCGTAACTTTCTAGTCGCTGTGGAAGAGTTGAAGCTACCTGCTTTTGAAGCTTCTGACCTCGAAAGGGTAGATCATCTGCTCACATATATATGCATAAATGTATATGTCAATCCTACTTGCATTTTCACATTGTATTCCATGTTTTATTGTCTCAGGATGCATTGGAGGCAGGGTCGGCAGCCAAGGTTGTTGATTGCGTTTTAGCCCTTAAATCCTATGAGTGGAAGCAGATGAGCAATGGGAATAGCTTTAATAAAAATGTTAAATCTCCCTTAGTTATGATTTCTGCCAATATAATGCATTCAAGGGCCTCGGCTGTGGTCCCATCAGACTCTTGCAGGCAATTGGATATGTCTGCTGCATGTGAGATACAACCACCTGTTGAGGGTGACAATCAAAAACTTCAAGGTATAAGGTTTCTCTTCCTTCAGAATTTTTGTCCATTTCTAAGATACTTAAAATGATAACCTAACATAATAGTGATATTTTTTATGATCGCGAATGAGGAAATATTGATATTTTATGAGAAATATTTCACATCAAAAAAATAAAATACAATTAATCTGCGAGCTCGTTGGTTGATACAGCAGCATATGTAGTAAGATTTCATAAGAAACCCTAGACTCTTAGGTACATTATTGGTGCTATAATAGTTTTCCCTGGATTGTAGACTAGTATATATTTAACATCACACTATTAATGATAATTGTATTTTCCTCTAAGCCAAGTGTAGCATTATAGTAAAATCAACTGTATATGTCATGCTTACTTCTAGATTTTAAGGATTAATGATAAAGTATCAGAACTGGATATATAACCTCACAAAAGTAATGTGTAATCAATCACATGTGACTTCATTTATTGATGTAACCGCATGTACAGTAAGATTTAGGGTTTAGGGTTCTTATTGAATGATATAAAACAGCTCACTTTTTTTTCCTATCTGTTAGTATATTTGAAAATACTTCCTCTAGAAATGCCATCACTCTTATATGGAATCCACATCTTATTATATGGTTATTTGTGATGCTCTTCAGTTTCTCTCCCTAACTTTTACTTTTCTGTTATTTCTTGTGATGTAGTGGATTGCATAGAATCTGTTATCAAGTTACTTGTTGACTCTATGGTTGACATAAAGGAAAACATTGATGACAAACTTCTTGCTTCCTACCATAATGGAGATGTGGTAATGATCTCTCCTTTTTTTAATAATCTTCCAACAGAGAGAATGTTACTCTGATTCAGCCAATAAATACTGGAATATGGATCAGACTTGAAGTCAATTTTCATCTCTATTAACCAATTTCTTCTTTGCAGGATACAATTCGCCTCCTTCAAAGGATCATGACAAGTTGTTCAGAGCAACATCTTCAGAAGAAGTCTCCTGAGGTTAGTTTGATTTGAGTGTTACAATATTTTAATTTTATATTTTCTTGGTTGAAAAATTCCCCAGCAAGCCACTTTGTGTTTTAGCTTTTCAAGTATGATTATGTTTTATTCTCTGAAGCAATATTAGACAGAAGTTTCTTAATAATAATACATTTAGGACGAAAATTTGTGATAAAATTGCAATCTAGGAGGTATTTCGGTGAAATTTTTTAATCCAAAGAAATGGTGCATTTTTTGGGGTTGTAACAATACTGTCCCATCATATGAATTTTTTCCTTCTGCGTATACATAAATATATACATAGTTATTTGAAATGGTTGAGTTTATGTTTCATTTGGAACATCGCACCTCATCTCCCTTCACCTAACCTCACTCCTTTATATTCTTGTCTTTTTGTGTATAAACAGTTGAATTCTATGTCAAAAGAACCCTTGAAAGAAAGAAGCAGCTCACCTGCCCATTCAACATCTATGCCTCTAGAGGATTTATCTGCTCTTGAAAACTCCAGAGTATGTCTACCTTGTATAGATGCACCCTTTATGTAACCAATTCACATGGAAAATTGTGCTATAAGATTACGTCAGCATGTTCTAAAATTGTTTGTTTTATATGCAATATTAGTTTTCCAGTGACTTTTAATGAAATATTTACTGTTTTCTTGATTGTAACCCCATCTTTCGTGGCATTAGTTAATGGAGAATAATACTAGTTATATCTACTCCTTGTAACCCTTATTTTCTTTTTTGTTTTTTTCGTCCTTGAATCTATAGATTTCTTATTCATTCCTTCAATATTTAGAAATATAATTCCGAACTTCTTCATATGGTTAAAACCATTTATTTAGGATTCTGTATTGCTTGTAATTTGGTAACATTTATTTATTTTCAGAGTAACCTGCTCTCTGAAAATCAGATTATTCCAATGTTGTTGGATATTGTCCATTTCACAGTTCTCTTGTGTTTATTAGTCCTTATTTCCTATTCTGAATTTCATCATTGACAACTATACTTGAACAAAAAGTATTGTGCGTTATAATCTTACCTTTATTTCATAGGCAAGGTATATATTCAAGGATATCAATATGCACACAGATATCCTACATAGCTGAAAAAGTCTGAATGTATATAAACAATTTTCTCTTATGGTATTGGATGCTGCACTACTGGATTCTGAAGTGTATTTATCTTTATCTTTTCAATAGTGCTGCAAAGCTTGTTTGAAAAATGGTAACTGCAACCACAGACTACTATTCCAAACACAAGAGAAAGAACTTGTGGTACGTATTTAGTTCGTTTTCTGTCCTTTATGTGTATTATCTTTTCAGTATAAAGTTAGGTTCAGAATACAAAACTAATTTTGACAATGGATAGCCATTTTGTTTATCTTTTTTAAGGGTTCGAGACAAAGTTTGATTTGCATGCACTTCATGTTGGTTCTCTGAAGAACATTTGTTTTCTTTTTCTTTTTGTTAAGGTCATATCTTATAGCAGAAGTCATGTATAATAACATAATGGTTATGGACAAGCTCCTGGTTGGACAAATAAATTTCGATTTAGGTCAAAATGCAATTAGTTAATGACATAGTTTTCTAAAGGGATAATAAGACGGCAGTAGGACTCTTGAATATATCCAGTATTAAAATGGTAATGGTTTTCATTTGGCAGGATCTCAAGGCTTTGTGGTTAAGTGCAAAAAAGGACTTTGAAGACTTACAGACCCAGCTACAGAGAGATATAAAACACTTGGGTATGTCCATCTTCAGAGGCTTTTTACCTTCTCCTTCCATTTTCTAGTCAGAATGGACAGTTTTCAAGTATTTAATCTGCAAAAACAAGTCATCATTCATTTTAGTATCTTATGATTCAACTGTAAATGTGATCTTATATATCTGTTGAGATCTTATTTCTTTCAATTTTCATCTAGCTTAATCTTCTAAATTTCCTTACATCAATCTTCATCTTGTACAGTTATATATATAAAAAGTATAATTTACAGTTTTGGAATGTATATAGCCATTTTTTTCAAGCAACATCATAGTCATAATAATTAAATGATCTTTACAAGTGCTCTGTTCTTTTAAAGTAGATGGAAATTATGATGGAAAAATGTCTTAGATCTGTGCATTTTTACATGCACATAAATTTCTTGAAAGTTAATTGTGTATACGCTCTTTGTGGGTTCAGGGACTCAGGTACAGGAACTGTCCACTGCCGCTCTTGGGTATCACAGGGTGGTGAGAGAGAATCAAAAACTATACAACATGGTTCAGGATTTGAAAGGTTGGTACTTTTAAATGTTTGCTTTGCTATAATATTTCTAGTTTTGACAGCTATCAAAAATTAGTTATCTAGCTATCCAATCTTGGTTGAAATTTGTCAGGTAATATTCGAGTATACTGCCGGATTAGGCCTTCCTTCAGTTCTGAATCCAAAAATGTGATCAAATTTATTGGAGAGGATGGTTCAGTTGTGATCTTGGACCCTGCAAAGCCCCAAAAAGATGGAAGGAAAGATTTTCAATTCAACCGAGTGTTTGGTCCAACTTCTAGCCAAGGTAGTATTACATCACACTACTTTTTATGGATTTCGATATCAGTCAGTTTCTTTCTGACTAGATTATACTTTCATTTTTCAGATGAGGTTTTCAAGGACACTCAACCACTCATTAGGTCTGTGATGGATGGCTATAATGTTTGCATTTTTGCTTATGGTCAAACTGGATCCGGAAAAACACATACTATGGTAAGATACAAGCCATAGATTTCAGTTGATAAATCTTTTGCAATTTTTAGGCTAACAATTTGTGGCTTTCATCTGCGTGCTAGCATTGTTGCATAATACCAGATTTTTGACACATTAGATTTGTGCATGCGCACACTCTGATCAAGGTTCTTTAATCTGAAATGAAGTGTTTATATTTTTACAGAGTGGTCCATCAGGTGGGTCAACTAGGGATATGGGGATTAATTATCTAGCTCTCAACGATTTGTTCCAGATGTCAAATAGAAGGAAGGATATCATACATTATGACATTCATGTCCAAATGGTTGAAATATACAACGAACAAGTACGAGACCTCCTTGCAGAAGATTCGTCCACTGTCAAATATCCTTTAATATTGGCTATGTTATGATTATTTTTAAGCAAAACATTTGAATTCACATCCAAATGTTGTTTCCTTAACAATTCACAAATTAGAGATTCGAAGCTGCCCTACTGATAATGGCTTGAGTATTCCAGATGCTACAATGCATTCAGTGAATTCTACCACTGATGTCCTCAACCTCATGAAATTTGGTGAGATGAATCGTATGGTCAGTTCTACTGCAATCAATAACCGCAGTAGCCGTTCCCATAGGTCAGTTTTTGGTGCTCAGTTGTGAATTGTTTCTCTTATAATAAAAACCTTACCTTTCTTATTTCATTGCTTATGATACCATTTCTTAAAACTACTGAGCATAAATTAAAATAAAAACAGCAATAAGCAAGATATCGGTTATTTTGTGCCCACTGATAGTTGTTGGTGTGCGTCTGCAGTGTCCTGACAATCCATGTGCATGGAAAAGATACTTCCGGAGGCACTCTCCGCAGTTGCCTTCATTTGGTTGACCTAGCAGGAAGTGAAAGAGTGGACAAATCTGAAGTTACAGGTGATAGGCTCAAAGAGGCACAGTATATCAACAAATCTCTTTCTTGTTTAGGAGATGTTATCACAGCCTTGGCTCAGAAGAACTCTCACATCCCTTACAGAAACAGCAAACTCACACTTCTGCTGCAAGGCGCCTTAGGTTGTAATTTCTTGAATTTCCAGCATCTATCTCTATTATTTGTCTTCTTATATTGGTTTCCGAAAAGGAGTGAACTCTTTGCGTGAATTTGAAATGATACCAGAATATGATTTGGTGAAATGGAAAAATTTGAGAAGCTTGTTCCCTGAGGAGTTGACCAATTAGATTGAGATATTATGCATATGCTGTGGACTCACCCAACTTTCTCTTTCGATTTATCCTTCAGGTGGACATGCTAAAACTTTAATGCTTGCTCATGTGAGTCCAGAAGAAGATTCTTTCAATGAAACAATCAGTACCTTGAAGTTTGCTCAGAGGGTTTCCACTGTTGAACTTGGTGCTGCTCGTTCAAACAAGGAGAGTGGTGAGGTTATGCAACTCAAAGAACAGGTGAACAAATTTTATTAATTTGGTTTTTGCTGCCCATAGTTTTTTAATATTTCGTTGTACTTTCTATCCTTGGGACTGATTAGTTGTTTGATCTAAAGTCATCCTGAAACTTGTGTTGTGCACTAACAGTCTTCATAGTTGTTTATGCACTAACACGTGATGTGTTTCAAAATCTTCAGATTGAGAATCTTAAAAAGGCATTAGCAAACAAGGAAGTTCAGGGCATGCAGTTTAATAAAACAAGCGAGAAACCAAGAACAATGACTGAGAGAACTCCTCAACGTCTTAGAAGATTAAGCATTGAAAATTGCAGCACTGTGAAGACTGAGAAAGCAATAAACCTTGAAGACAGAAAGGGATCAAAAACCCCGTCTCTATCAACTCGTTCGAGAAGATTGAGCTTGGAAGGTCCAAGGTCTGTTAAGAAGGATAATCTGCAAATATCACATGACATGGGGAAATTCCTGGCATCTGAAACAGTACCAATGGAGAATTGTGGTCAACTTCAAGAGACAGAAGCAGTCACTAAGCCTTTTGGCCATTTCAGAAATGAGAATACCACATTGGAAGTGTGGTGTCCCAAAACTCCTCGAAGTCCAACAAGGATTCCCTATCAGAAGCGAGTTGTAGAAACAGATAGTAAAACACAAGTTTCTTCTCTTCAGCCACCACCAACAACACCTGAACCACGTCCCAGGGCTCCTCGAAGTCCAACAAGCTGTACCTATCAGAAGCGAGTATTTGAAACACAGAGTATAACCCAATGTCCTCCTCTTCAGCGACCAGTGACACCTGAACCTCAGCCGAAGGCTCCTCGAAGCCCAAGGATGGCTAGCTATCAGAAGGGAGGGTTAAAAACAGATAGCAAGATCCCTCCTGTTCAGATACCGACAACACCTGGTCCTGAACCACCAATGCGTTCCAGAAATGAGGTACAGATTGCTATGCAAAGTAAGCTCCCTCTTCCTGCGGATTACCTGACACCTAATTTGGCAAGTAGCATCAGTGGGAAAGGATCTCAGATAAGGAGATCCCTGCGGACAATTGGAAAACTGATTAATGGCTCGGAAAAGAGGTGGGTGAAACTCATAATTTGAAGTACTTTTTCTGTTTCAATACATGTAATGTGTATGTTATTTTGGAATGTATGTTAGATTGCTACAATGTCTCTCACATCATATATTCATATTGAATGTTATTCATACTTGCTACTGCTGCCATTTCTTACTAAACTTACGATGAAATACTGCAGGAATCAGCAAAGTTTGGTGGACACACATTCAACTGTTAAATGCTCAGGCGATATCAATGAAGGGAAATCACCAGTTACAAATAATGCAAAAACTCAGAGGAGGCAATCACTAACTGGCATTCCATCATCAGGGTCTGACAGACGATCCTCTCTGGGAGGGAATACAGTTGACACTGGTACATAAAGCTCATACAAGCTTCATTACATTATAGAACCTCTCACCAGTTACAGCTTTCATATTCATCTATGTTTTGACTTTCTTATGGTGTTTGCCTTTTGAAGGTGTAAAGGACAATAGAAATGCCAAAACACCTCCTCCAGTTCGCTCATCAACGAAAAATAACAAGCGGTGGCTCTAGATCATTTGATGTGCTGAAATTGCAGTGGTGGTGCTTTAACTCGAAGCATACTGATGTGCTGAAATTTGAAGTGGCTATAGATCATTTGATGCAAAGTGAAAACTGCAGTGGTGGTGCTTTGACTCAAAGCATACTGATGTGCTAAAATTTGAAGTGGTAACAGATAGCATTATGAGAATGCCCTCGAGTAAAAGATAGGCTAACATGATTGTAACTGATCTGCTTGTCTTCAGATCACAGTTTTGTTTAGCTAAAATGTTTCATATCGTCAATGATCCTCATTCATTGTAATTGTAATTGTAATGCCTAGTTTGGATCCATATTGTGAATTTCTGTTAATAAAAGTAGTTTATCTTCCAAAGTTGTTACTAGTGGTGGGTATAAAAACCGTCAAACTGGAAAATCGAATCCAAACAAAAAAAAAAGAAAAAAAAAAAAGAAAAAAAAAAGGGAAAACTGAGTTGACCCAAAAAAGTCAAATCCAGACCAAAACCGAACTGGAACCGGACCGGACTGATTATTTTAAGCCCACTTTCCTATACCTTTAGCCTTCAATGAATAAAGCCCAACTTCATATTAAATCAAATGGGAGCTTCTACAATGAGGAGTTAAAGTAAGGAGGTTATTTGAGGAGACCGATCTGACCGTCAAAACATTTAAAATATTTAAGTCCCATGATTTCTTTACATTTTTTATGGTGAGATTTGACCTCCTCCAATAACCTCCTCACTTTAAGCCCTCATTATAGCCTTTCCGAAATCAAATCTTAAAGCACAACAATACTTAGCCAATAGCCCAAACCCAATTAATAACCCTACTTTCCTCCCACTCTAACCGTCTCCCACTTGACAATATGAAACGTTTTAGCCAAACAAAACGGTGATCTGAAGACGAGTAGATCGGTTACAATCACGTTAGCCTGTCTTTCATTCAAGGACATTCTCATATATCTTTCATTCCCAAGAGTTGCTCTTGCCGAATATCTGGCATGTGTTGTTGAATTGTCACTAGGTCTGCTACTCATCACCGCTCAAGTGGCTAGTTTAAGCTTATGAGTAGAAGTTTTCAGTTTCTTCTTTCACTAATCTTTTAGTCTTTGAGTTGCCTGCTGGTTTTCTCTCTTGGTGTCCAAACAGTAAGTCCTAGAGTCCAAACAGTAAGTCCCAGGTGAGGCATGAGCGGTTGCGGCATGAGCGGAGGGCAAGAGAATCATTAGGTTTCTTGTAGAGTAAAGGGTCAGTATAGAAGTCCTTGTTTATCTTCTTCTTCACTAGTTCAAACCCAGAAACTTGAGTCAAAATGAGTCGCTTATTTAGAACAAACTCTTGTAATTCAAGCAGCTCTAGAGCCAGTATTAGTTGTCTCACAGAGATAGTTAATGAAGAACAATTAGAATATGAGTCAAATAATGAATTAGATTATAAAGATTGGAATATATCTAGAGTCCCTAGTCATGACATTTATAAGAAAAAATGGAGTCTGTCCAGTTTCAAGTTGACCACCCATGTTAAAACAGTTGAACAAGTTTATGCTTTGAGTAAAAAACATGGAACATGTCAGTTGCTTAATCTTAAGTCAATTAAAAAACATAAAAATGATGGAAACAATTTCCTTCACATTGGATTAGTCCAAGTTGCAGTCAAATCTCTAACCAAATTAGGATTAAAAGCTTCTGTCCTTCTCTGCCTTAGAGATGCTAGGTTCACGAATTTCAACGACAGTGCGCTAGGATTAATTGAATCTAGTTTATTTAATGGTCCAGTACACTTTGATTATTACCCAGATTTTACTGTAAGTCTTAGTGATCCCTATATTTTAAAAACACTAACCTTAAATATTGAGACTTATGGGTATCAAGTACTACCAGGAACACAGCTATTAGCCTTAATTTACAGAATCTATTATAAAGTCACTGGAACTAATATGAATTTCCAAGCCCTTTATAAAAGTCCAAAAGATCAAACTCTATTCATTCAAAGTAGCAAACCTGAAGCCCATATTCGAGTACCTCACACAATTAAATGGTCAGATGTCACCCTTCCTTCTGAATGGACACTCACCACTGAAAGTCAACCAACTCCAGTTCAGCATGATCTAAACAATTTAGGTTATGTACAGCAATATTTAGATGGCACTGTCAAGATTAGTTTTGGAAATCAACCTCCACAAAAATCCACAGTCCAAATACATCAATTACCTACTCCTGGTCAATCCCAGAGGCATATTCCTGCGAGGCATTCCTTTGCAGCATCTTCCTCAACTCTAGAATGAGACCTAGAGTTAGAAAAAGCCATGATAGATTTCAAACTAGAATCTTTAAGAAAAACTTCCCAAGTTAATCAACCCTGTTTTCATAATAAAAATAATCAGTTAAATTTTCTTAAAGAAGAATTCAAATTCAAAAGAATTGAACAATAGCTTACTTGTGAATCTTTGCAGTTGCAAATCCAACAATTTGAAAACAAATTAAAAAATGAAGTTTGTTATGATTTACCTAATGCTTTTTGGCACGGGAAACAACATGTTGTTAGTCTTCCTTATGTCAAAACCTTTAGTGAGAAAAATATCCCTACTAAAGCTAGGCCAATTCAAATGAGTCAAGAAATGATGGAATTCTGCAAAATTGAAATAACTGAGTTGCTCTAAAAAGGAATAATTCGTAAGAGTAAATCTCCTTGGTCTTGTCCTGCTTTTTATGTCCAGAAAAATGCTGAGTTAGAAAGAAGTGTCCCAAGGTTAGTCATTAATTACAAACCCCTCAATAATGTCTTAGAATGGATTAGGTATCCCATACCTAAAAAACGAGACTTAATCAACAGATTAGAAAAAGCAGTTGTCTTTTCCAAATTTGATATGAAGAGTGGTTTCTTGCAAATCCAAATAGATGAGTCAGGTAGGTATAAGACTGCATTTATCACTCCTTTTGGTCATTATGAATGGAATGTAATGCCTTTTGGTTTGAAAAATGCTGAGTGATTTCTCTATTGTTTACATTGATGATGTTCTAATATTTTCTCAGTCATTAGAACAACATTGGAAGCATTTACAAAAGTTTCTTCAAGTCGTCAAACACAATGGTCTAGTTGTTTCTACTAAGAAAATCAAGTTGTTCCAAACCAATGTCTGATTCCTTGGTTTTAATATTTGTCAATCTCATATTAGTCCAATTGATCGAGTCATTCAATTTGCTAATAAATTTCCTGATCAGGTCCTTGATAAGAGTCAGCTCCATAGGTTTTTAGGATCTCTCAATTATGTCTATGATTTTTATCAAAATTTGAGAAAACAATGTAAGCCTTTGTTTGATACGTTATAGAAAAATCCACCTCCGTGGTCTTCTGTCCATACCCATATCATCAAACAAATCAAAGTTCATGTCAAGACACTTCCCTGTCTTGGTATTCCTTCAGCTGATTCCTTCAAAATAGTTGAAACCGATGCCTCTGATATTGGTTATGGAGGCATTCTCAAGCAAAAAGTCAGTCCAAATCAACCAGAACAAATCATTCGTTTCCATTCTGGAATTTAGACCCAGTCACAATTTAATTATAGTACTATTAAGAAAGAAATACTATCTATAGTACTATGCATTTCTAAATTTCAAGATGATTTACTTAATCATAAATTTTTAGTCCGAGTTGATTGTAAGTCTGCAAAGCATGTTTTAGAAAAAGATGTTCAAAACATTGCATCCAAACAGATTTTTGCACGATGGCAAGCTACTTTAAGCATTTTTTTATTTTGATATTGAATATTTGAAAGGTAGTAAAAACTCAATTCATGATTTCCTTACTTGAGAATTCCTGCAGGATAAACAATGGCACCCAAAAAAGACAAGCAAAAAGAGCCAGCCTGTCAATCCAATCCACCTAGTCAGCCCAAGTCGCTCAAAATCCTTCCACCTTCCATGAACCCAGTCAAATTAGAGTCGCCTTCCCAGATTATCCCCTTTTCGGGATGCTCTCCAATTCAAGGCGGTAATCGGTTCTCCAGTCTTGGAACCACAGTTGGCCAAATCTGTCCCAATTACCAGTCTGCCCTAGTCTCCAGTTATGATCAATTCCAGATCACTCCTCCATTTGCCCAATCTTCTCAGTCGCCTGCTATCCTTCCAAAGTCATCTCCTTATGTCCCCAAAGATAAGTCTCACCTCTTCATAATTGAACCAATTTATGATGGTATTTCTAATCCCATTACAATTGTCAAATCTTATTTTCCGCCTAATTGCCATTTTCTTCCTCCCTATCCTTACAAAAATCTTTCCTTTTATAGGGACATTCTAGTTGAAACAAAATTAGTTGAAATTAAGCCCATAAAAGACCAAGAAAAACCTCAAGTTATTCTCTACCATTCCCTCTACATCCACAAAATACTAAGTCAAGAAAAATTCAGTCGCCACCCTTATGAGTTGAAACACCTCCAGTCCACTCATCCATAAAACTATGCTGATTATATTGAAGTATGGTACTCCATTTTCCTTTACCATAAAGTTGACTTCAGCCACTCTTGGTTCATCAATTTTGATAGTAAATTCAAGAGTCCATTCCCGTACTGGTTTCTTCATTGGTGGGAAAAGCATGACCCAATAGCCGACATTCTCCCTACTGAAGTTCATAATTTGACCAATTACTTTGCCAGTAAATACAAATTTAATAAACAACAGTTTTTTTTGCCCAAATTACTCCTTTTCATTGCCAGGTACAAGATTCCTTGGATTTTGAAATGGTCTTATCATGTAAATTGGGAATCCAGAATTATGTCTCGCCAATTTTCAGTCAAATGGTGGGATAAATTCCAAGTTGACAGAATTGTAGAATATGTTTACAGAGATTTTCCCTATGCCACAAATCCCCTTAAGCCTCAGCCAGCTTCTCCTGTTGGTTCTGTTCATTCTTCTCTCTCAGTCGAGGGAACATCGAAAGTTGAATTACAGGAAATTGCTCACCAGTTGATTATCCAAGCTTCTCAGATGAATGATGATGAGGACAATGACAATGACAAATCACCTGCATCTCAGTCATCCAGCTGTCTCCCTAATCAGAGTCCTTCCCAACCACGTCGGTGGAGTGACTACCAAGACTCCCAAGACCCTTTTGCAGCTTATGACTTGAATTCTGACTAAGCTGCCGACAAGTCAAAGTTGCCTAGGTGAAAGTGAAGGTTAAAGCATCCAGTAAAAGCAAAAGCTTCCGCTTGCTTCAACAGTCATTATTCCCCGTCAAGTTACCCAAAGTAAAAGTTGCCGAAAGTAAAAGTTAGAATTATTACTCCAGCTGTTATCTCGTGTTCCTACAAGAAGATTCCAGCATCCCATGCCCTGAATATTCAAGTTGCTTTTCTTATTTAAGTTGGCTTCGGCCTCAGTTGTATTCAAGTTAGATTTTACTAAGGTTTTCAGTTTTCAAAGTTTTCTCTGAAACTCCTTCAAAGAAAATTCCCAATGTAAAATACAAGTGCTATCAATATCAATAAAAGCAAGACTTTTGTAAGTATCAAATGTCTTCAATTGTATTTTTCAATTATCTATATTTTCAGTATGTTCATCTATGCATTAATTTCATTCATGCATAAATTCAAGTTGTTTTATATTCTATGCTTCTTTACTATCTCTGCAAATCCATCCTGGTTATCATCTAACAATATAACATGTCTAAATCTGATCATGTGATAAGAGAACATTTTTATCGTTTCAAATATCTCAAAGATGATAAACATGGGATAGTGTAACCTTTTATATTTTCATGTGCCTCCAGCCTCCATTCATATATATAACAATTGTTGATATTAATCATCTAACAACATAACGTGTCTGAATTTGATCATGTGATAAGAGGACATTTTTATCATTTCAAATATCTCAAAGATGATAAACACGGGATAGTGTAACCTTTTATATTTTCATATGCCTCCTGCCTCCATTCTATATTTCTTCCCTGCTCAAAGGTCGAAATCTTCCTTCTTTTTCTTCTCAAATGGCTCAACTCCTTTACGAACTCATAACATTTTTGTAACCTCTTCAAGCTGCTTTTGGTTGCAACTTGAAACTTGAGTTTTGCATTATGTGTTTGTGATGCCATAATAATACCCTCTTCTTTACAATTTTAAAAGAAGGGACCAAAGTCCATGTGATACAAACACTTCACTTCCCTAATGTGTAGTGTATGGCTTCTGGGGATTTGAACATGTGCACTTAAATTATATAATAGGACTTGAAAATCTTAGATCCTTGACAACCCAAAGAGAAAATGTATGGTCTAGGTAAAAGCTACATTAATATCTTATCATGTGATTTAGATAGATAGTGCACAAAGTAATATTCTATTCTTACCGCATGTTTGTTCATTTACTTGTATGCATCTACTTTTTATCTGTTTATTTTTTGCAACATGTACACTTTCCCCCACGGGTGATAATTTAAATTATTGATGAGCATTTACTTACTGACATTGTTCATTTTATTTATTAAACAAAAAAGAGATAAATATATCTTAAGAATTCAAAGCTAAAAACCCTATAAACAAATTCAAAGCTAGAAGCATTTTATTCACAACCATAATCTTAACAAGACTTGACTAAGTCATCGGGGTCCAGCCCAGTGATCTCAAATTTGAACCCCCTTATAGCACCTTAGCAGTACCCTAACATTGATGTGGTAATATCTTATTTATTCATGAAATATCACATTCTTTTACTATTTAGAAAAAGCCTATTTTGTTAAATGTTATCCAACTTTTTGTAGTGAGATGTATAGTGTTGTCCAATCTATAGTTATGGAGTCCATGTGAGAGAATTGGGGAACATTTACAAAAAAAGAGCTTAGGTAAACATTTTCATATTATTTAATCTCCAAAAGCTCAAATTCCTTAAATAATTGACATTTTTTTAAAGCCATTGTAATTATTCTAACTATAAAAGTCAGTGAGGGAAGAATAGGAGTGGCTAGATCTTGGGGTTAAAATAAGTGGAAATTTGCAGGTATATCTCAAGATAAAACCTGTTTAGGAGATGTGAAATCAAGCAAGTTGATCCGTTAATATATAAAAATATTAAATTTAAAAATAAAAAAATAAAAAAACTATGTTCCCTATTTGTTGAACAAACCAAGGCTCAACGACTAGTATTTTGTCAGGGCTATCCTGTATGCAAATTGCAGTTGTGTTATTTTTCTGACTCCGCCCATGTGGCATGTGGTCCCCCTAGTGCATATCTGCCACCTTGTGCAGTGTAGCATATGAGCTTTCGAGCTTTCAAGCCATACTTTTTAGAAGGGTGTGTTTGGAAGGAACCCAATATTTATTCTCATCATGGATTGGGCTAATGCAAGCTTGCATGCAACATTGTAAAGTCCTAGAAGTACTTCATAAAAAATTTGTGTGAGAAAGTTTGTTTATGCCTGGCTTGTCAAAATCTCCTCAATCTCAAGGAATTATATGGATTGAGTGTTCTCATCATGGTAAAAGATAAAAGTAACTTTAAAAGCTGCTGGCCCTTTTCACATGCATATTTTGGTACAAGGATACAATAATGCACTCTCAACTTGATTCTGCCTCCACATGCATGGAGAATTTTGACATCAATCTATCTATGCTATGCACCTTCTCAGACAATAGAGATATTCGGATTCACATGCCATGATGACCTTATTTGGTTGTTTGCCAAACACAAAACAATCTAATACACACAAGTATGCACATATATATTTCTTATTTTATACAACCGTATCGTAGTCTAATTTACTCTAAATTAATCTACATCACGGACTCGAACTTGAGTCCATAAAGACGGACTCATTGTCCTGACCAACTGAACCTAGATGCATTTTTGTAGATAAGGTAAAGTTACCTTTCTAGACTTTATGATGCCAAATAAATGCGATTCTGTATACAAGAACGATTAAATAGTAAAATATTCAAGAAAATTTGGATATTTTGCTGTTCTTGCTCAAAATTCGTAAGGTTTCACAAACATCTGGTTAGGGATGCAGACAAGAAGGCATTACAGGCTGCCTAAAGGTGGAAGTATGGTATGCCCACTAATGCATAAAGATGGTAGGCTCCTGTCAATATTTTGGCCTAAAAGATGAACGTGCCAATCTGGAAGATGAAAAAAACCAATAATATGATCAACCCAAAAAGTATGATAATTGCAGAACATGTAACTAGGAAACATGGCTAATTCATAAGCCAACAAACTTAGGTATTTATGATATCACTGTCAGCATCATACGTATGAACACAATCCTCGCAAACTTGTGAACTAATCAGGCAACAAGATAAACAACAAAAGAAAAATGCAGATAGAAACAAAAATTACTCTTGAATTTGGAGCAAAACTAGACATCAAAGAATCAAAAGTCAACATTAGCCACAAAATCAGTAAAACTGCTTTTGGTACAGTAGATCAAATAGTAAAAGGGTCCTAGAAGAAAAGTATATAGTTGCTTCAAAATCAAAAGTATTTACCAAAAAATCGGTTTCTTTGTGCAAAGCTTAATGTACATAGGTCACATATATTCAACAACTTCTACCAAGTACAAACATATTTTCCTAGTAGCCATTTCATGCCATCTACAACCTTTCAAAATGATTTATGTAAGGTAAAGAATAAGAAAGACCACGGAATTACTGAGATTGAATATGGGGATGCTTGTTCAGTCTATGGTACATGTAATCGTAAGCACGAACCAATCGCTTGCGAAATCTTCCAAGATCTAATCTCACAGTCTGACCATCAAGATAGATCTTCTTTGTGTACTCCCATCCCATTTTGGTTACACTCTTTGGATCTCTAAGAACAGGATCATCTTTATCATACTTGTCATATAAGGAACTCTCTCTAGTAAGAATTTGGTAGCCAATGTATTTTAAGCCAAGCTTCCTTGCAGGTTCCCCATAATATTCCATTGCTGCCCACACAGTTCCAAGGGGAACAACTTGGATAAAAACAGAGCCAGGCTTCATGAATAGAAAATGAGTCATGGCAGCACCGTGAACCCCAATCATCACATCACTAGCATTAAGGGCCCGATAAATCTTTGCCAACTCTGTCGTGGGGTCGGGTCTCAAAACATTCACGTCAAACCCGATTTCCTCAGCCATTTTCACCAATAAATTCTCATTAGTTATGGCTCTTGATCCATTTCGAGATATAATCACCAGTTTAGGCTTCTTCACTTGATCTTCTTGCACTTCATTCTCAATTTCTAGAGGACTTTCAGATGTCAAAGATGCAGAAAGCTTCTCCTGTGCTTCTCGTTCCTCGTCTTGAATTAGACTTCGAATTCGAGGCCAATAAGCTCGGTCTAGAAGATTTCGAAAGTCAACAATGCCCATATTTCCCTCCATCAGTGAAGAATCCACGGTGAGCTCGTCGTGAATTCTCAGGCCAACAGTGACCTCAGGGAAGCAGTGAGTTCTCTTGTCTCCGCTAAAATCTATCGGTGGATAATCTGACAGTTGTGAAAGAATGTCTCCATATTTCGTGACCCACCAATTATGGTAATCAAGCATGACAAATATAACCTTCTTGTTGAAATGCTGGGAAGTAATGTATAATGGCATAATCCCATCATTGAATTCATGATAAACATTACCAGTATAGCCCCCAGTCGAGAAAAACACTGCTGGTACATCATGTTGGACATCACACTGATGGTGCATACCTAGAGTGTCTTTCTTTGCAATGAGCTGCAATTCATCAATGGTGTCCATGACACTTTTTTCCCATTTCCTTGTATACGGTTTGACCTTCTCGTGCTCAAGTTCCTCAGTTTCGCCTTCTTCGTTTTCCTCAACAACACCCGCAACATAATTTTTCAAGCTGCTTCCGTCCTTAGATCTGTAGAGAAATATAGAAGAGGAAGCAGAGTGTGTTCTCACATCCCCTTTCATGACACAAATATCTGAACGAATACTGCTTCTATCACAACATATAGTTCCTGCAGCCACAGAAAGAAATTACAATTAATTTCTATTAAAAAAAGAAAACACAAATAATCAAAAAGCAATTGAAGATTATGATGGGATTATACTGTTTGATCAAACTCAAAACATATGAGAGAGAGTTTTGATCAAATCCACAACTTGGCTACTGAGAAAATTGAAGAACATAGGGAAGAAAAGGATATTCAAATTTCAGGCAATAAAGTATTATTTACTTCAATCATAGTATTAGATTTTCCTGCGTTTTCAATATACTTTCTATTCTTCCCCCTTTTTCTTTTTCCTATAACTTTTTCTCTCTTCACGAACCAAATGGACAAAAGCGACCCTCTTTAGCAGTATATCTGTACAGATTGAGAAAACTAATAACACAAACAATCTAAAGAGAAAGAGAGAGGCAGAGTATTAACCATTAGAGATTGAAGAACACAAGGGAATGTTTACATCCATTTCAGCAGCAAGGCCTTCATTTTCTACCATTGTCGAATCTATAAAAACCAAAAGTTCCAGTTATTAATAAGCAGGTAAAGAGGAACCAAAAAAAGAAAAAGGAAAGGCCTTGTCTTTGAGAGAGAAAAACTCACATAAGAGAGAGAAGGTGGTGTTGGTGCTAAAAAGATGAGGGGCCAATATGAAGCTGCAAGAGAGAAAAGAGAGGAAGAGGAGATAGAGAAGCTTGGGATTTGTTCTTTTGTAATAACCAGAGTTTGCTAACTCCATTAGAAAGGTCTGAGACTCTTCATCATCTTCTGTATGCTTTTCACCTTTTCTCCACTGATGATGGCGCTGATAGCGTCCCATGTCCTATGCAAAAAAGCTTTGATCTTTTTTTCTCCCCTGCTTTTCAAAGTAAGCTGGTTTTCAAGTGAACCCAACTAGAGAGAGAGAGTTCCTATGCAAAAGCTTCGATCTTTTTTCTCCCCTGCTTTTCAAAGTAAGCTGGTTTTCAAGTTAACCCAACTAGAGAGAGAGAGAGGGAGATTTATGGGCTGTTGATGGTCTGGGGACAAAACCCAGATGAGGAAATGGAGAGCAATTTACAAATAGAGAGAAAGTAATATTTTCTTGGATTAGAGAGCGACAGAGAGAGACAGAGAGATGGAAGATAGGTTTTTGGGGTTTGTTTATTGAGAAGGTGCTGCTTCTTTCCTATAAAGAGAGAATAGTCTAGAGAGAGAGAGAGAGAGGGAGAGAGGGAAATGAGAGGAAAGAGGGAGATGGATGGGTGATGAGTTAGTAAGAAATCAAAAGAGGAGCTGTCAAAGGAGGGGAGGCTGTTCTGGTCCTAAAATTCAGTCAGTTTCTCTCTGCTGAAGGAAGTTGGGTGTTTTGATTTTAATAATATTTTAATTTTAATTTTGCAGTCAAATGCGTGTAAAGAGAGGGAATTGTGATGCGAACAAAGTCCCTTCTTTCCTCGGTTTGGCTCGTTGCTTTCTCTTTTGGCACCTGTTTCAAATCAGCGCAGCTCATCCCACGCGCCCTTCGGAACACGCGCCTTTGAAAGCTGTGTCCAACTTGGCAAACTGGGTGCGGATCCGAAAATCAAGATGAGACCTTTTGCTAAGAACACGGTGGTGAATGGATCATGGATTGGCCACTAAGAAAAGAACAGTATTTTGCAGATAACCATTGGCTGCAGCAAACGCAGGAGAATCTGCTATTAGAATAACTTGTAAAAAAAATCATGCTTTGTTTTTGCTTTGCTTATATTCTTGGTAGCAATTTAATTAGTAATTTTTCTACCTTCCTATTTGTCACTTCAACCCTCTTTAGATTTCCTATGTTTATTCATTATTTTATTTTATTTTTTGGTCCTTTGCTGCTCTTCAATTTGTGTCTTTGGCTTGTTGCTCACTTTTCTTTTTTGAAACCAAGGCGATTAAGAGCACCTCCATTCACAAGGGCTAAGTCTAAGGCAAGGGCAAGCAAGGGCTGCAACTATTCACGTGAATAGTGTCAGTCTTTGCATTTGTGGTTCCACTCATGAGGGCAAAATCTAAGGTAAGTCAAGGGCAAGAAAAAAAAATATATATATGCAACAAAATATAAAATTGTTATGTATTTATAGAGAAAGTGAATAAAATTGTTATGTATTTATAGAGAAAGTGAATAAAATTGTTATGTATTTATAGGGAAAAATCCATAATTTTTTGGTGTTTTTTTTTTTTATAATTGAATTTTTTATAATTTTTTTGAATTTTTTTTTGCTCGCTAACGTCAGCATAACATCAGCGCTGACGTCAGCGCCCTCGGGCTGAAGCCCTAGCAAAATCTGCCCTTGGACTTGCCCGGGCTGGTGGGACCCAGGGCTTGCCCGGGCTGCAAGTGGTGCACTGGAGCTGCATTGGGCTTGCCAGGAGGGCCTTTTGCCCAGTTTGATAGCAGCGCTGGAGCTGCTCTAAGTTACATTATTGAGAGCAAAAGGAAGATAAAAGACGTTGACAAAGTGAAAGATGATTAGGCGAGCAAATCTACATATAAATTTATTATTTAACATAATAAAGAAAAAAAATATCATTAAGAGTAACCAATCAAAAAATTTGCATGTCATTGCAACTCATAATTTGAAATGGCCAAATGACTAAATTAAAGCCGTAAAAAAAATGTTGTGGGAGTAGTTAGAGTATGGTAGCGGAATACGGTCAATTTTGTAAAAACATTAAATTGTAACAATATCTCTTTGGTCACCTTTGTTGAGACTTGATATAATAAATATATGTTTTGACATATACATCACCTAAGGTATGATGTCATGATGTATTTGATTTTTTTTATTAATATAACTGCATGATATTTTACATAAAAGTCAAAACCAAGATCAATCTTGACACATTCCATCAATGATGTAATCATAAGCACCAACCAACTGCTTCTTAAACCTTTTGAGGTCCAATCTCACAGTTTGATCTTCAAGATAAATCCTCTTTGTTTGTTCCCATCCTTTTTGGTTCACTCTTGTTGGATCAGCAAGAATGGGATCATTTTTATCATACTTGTCATACAATGAGCTCTCTGTGGCAAGAATTTGGTAGCCAATGCATTTCCAACCAAGTTTTTTTGGCAGGTGCACCATAATATTCCTCTGCTGCCCAAGCAGTTCCAATAGGGATAACTTGGATGAGCACAGAGCCAGGCCTCATGAACAGAAAATGTGTCATGGCAGCACCATGAACTCCAATCATGGCATCACTTGAATTAAGAACCTAATAAATCTTTGCCAACTCTGTCCTTGGATATAGCCTCAAAACTTTTACTTGAAATCCAATCTGCTCAGCCATTTTCACTATCAAATTCTCATTGGTTATTGCTCTTGATCCATTTCTAGATATGACTAGATATGACAACAAGTTTAGGCACTTCATGCACTTTCATCCTGATTTTTAAGGAGCTTTTCTGTTGTGATTTTTGTAGTTCCTCTTCATGAATTAGGCTTTGAATCCTAGGCATGTAAGCTCGATTTAGAAGATCCCGAAAATCGAAAATGCTCTTGTTTCCCTCCATTAGTAAAGAATCCACAGAGAGCTCATTGTGAATTCTCAAACCAACAATGGCCCTCAGGGAAGCAGTGAGTTCTCATATCTGCACCAAAATCCACCACTTGTTAATCTGACAGATGAGAAATAATGCCACCAGTCATGAAAATGAAGAATCACAAACACAACCCTCTTGCTCAAATGCTGTGAGGTGATGTACAAGGGCAAAATCCCATCGTTGAATTCATGGTAAACATTTCCCGTATAGCCGGCGGTGGAGAAGAACACGACCAGAACATTAACATCACACTGTGTTGTGTGCTTAGAGTGTCCTTTTTGGCAATGAGATTTAATTCTTTGATGGTGTCCATGGTGGTTTTTTCCCTTTTTTGTGTGTAGGGTTTGATTTTTTTCGTGTTGGAATTGCTCCTCATTTTGCCCTTCTTCATTTTCCTCAATAATGCTTGAAACGTAATTCATGAAGCTGCTTCTATCGACAGATCTGTAGATAAAGATGGAAGAGGAAGCAGAATGTGTTCTTACATCCCCTTTCATGATACAAACATCCGATCGAAAACTGCCCCTGTCACAACGTATAGTTCCTGTGGCACAAAAACAAATTACAATTAATTTTTACAGGAAAAAGCCATGTATCATTTTTTTCAAATTAGTTATGAGATGGGTTGGTTCATAAATATTTTAAATAAAAAAAATTAATTTAAAAAATACAGATAATTATAATGAATTATAATGAATTACTCTTGCATAATTACAATACAGATAATGATTAGTCTAAAAGAAATATAAAAAAAAAAAAGTGATATTAGGAGAGAGGGCTAAGAGAGTTAACTGAGTTTGCAAACCAACTAAAAAGGAAACAAGATGAATCAATCAATAACTCTAGTTTCAAAATTAACATGTGAGTGTTAGCAAGTCATGTTCACATAGCTGTTAAGCAATTGTTAATTACCAAAGATTAGTCAACGGTTGTTGGGTTAAGCCGGAATGGTACGTAGCCTGAGTCTCCAATTAATGCTATAAATATATTAGTTTTCTTTTTTCTTCCATTTGCAAGTGTGATTAATTGTTGTATGTGTTTAATACCTATCAAAATCAGAATTCTTATTAGCTATTGATCACCCTATTTTTGGAGGCTGTCATTGTGGTTCGGTAGCATGGTTCTTTCGTGAATTTCACTAAGTAGAACTAAACCTACCATCCTCATTTAGTACATGACCAAGAAATTTCACCCAAAAAAAAAAGAAGGCCAAAGATGAGCATGGTTTTTTTTTTTCCTTCTTCCGTTATTAAAATGTCCAAAGGCCGGAGGAAGGAAGATTCAAACTCTAGCCTTGAAAAAAAAGGTCAAAGATGAATACGCCTCAATCTCCCATGCCAAACGGCTAGTTGACCGGGGTAGGCGGAACGCCGCGTAGCCTTCAACAGTTGAGGATCATCAAATCTCAACCAAGCTCACTGAAAATCAGTTCGCAACAAAACCCTTTACAAAAAGAAAACTGCTTTTGAATCATGAAAATTGAATAATAACAACAAAGTCATAGAAGAAATTATTCACATGCATTGTATTTACAAAATAAGTTATCCTTTTCAACTAATGCTTAATGTCTAAACCTCATATGTTCACCAATTTCTACCAAGTAGATACATTATACATACAATACAAATCTCCCTAGTCAACATTTTATGCCATCTACAACTTCCAAAATGACTAAGGCAAGGTAAAGAATGACTAAAGTTCATGGAAAAAAAAACACGTGAAATGAATGAAATGACTGTGACTTGGAAATGCTGATTCATATCCTATTAATGGTGTAATTATAAGCACCAACCAACTGCTTCCTAAATCTTCTGAGGTGTAGTCTCACAGTTTGATCTTCAAGATAAATCTTCTTTGTGTATTCCCATCCTTTTTTAGTAACACTTCTTGGGTTTGTCACAACAGGATCATCTTTGCTATACTTGCCATACAATGAGCTCTCTGTGGTGAGAATTTTGTAGCCAATGTATTCTAAGCCAAGCTTTCTTGCAGGTTCCCCATAATATGCCTCCGCTGCCCATGCAGTTCCGAGAGGGATGACTTGGATGAACACAGAGCCAGGCCTCATGAACAGAAAATGTGCCATGGCAGCACCATGAACTCCAATCATGACATCACTAGAATTAAGAGCCCAATAAATCTTTGCCAACTCTGTCGAAGATTCGGGTCTCAAAACTTGAACTTGAAACCCAATTTTCTCTGCCATTTTAGCCAGCAAATTCTCATTGGTTATTGCCCTTGATCCGTTCCTAGATATGATAACCAGTTTAGGCCTCTTCAGTGAATGTTCATGCACTTTTCTCTTGATTCGTAAGGAGCTTTTCGACGTGGGAGACACCGAAACAGAAAGCTTCTGATTTGCTTCTTGTTCGCGAATCAGACTTCTAACTCGAGGCCTGTAAGCACGGTCTAGAAGATTGCGAAAGTCTAATATGCTCTTCTCTCCGTCCATCAATGAAGAATCCACAGTGAGCTCATTATGAATTCTCATACCAACAATGGCTTCAGGGAAGCAATGAGTTCTCTTATCTGCACTAAAATCTATTACTGGATAATCCGACAGATGTGAAATAATGTCTCCATATTTCATGAGCCACCATTTATGAAAGTCAAGAATCACAAACACAACCTTCTTGCTCAAATGCTCGGAAGTAATGTACAACGGTAAAATGCCATCGTTGAATTCATGATAAACATTACCAGTATATCCTCCAGTTGAGAAAAACACTGCTGGAACATCATGCTGGACATCACACTGATGTTTCATGCCTGGACTTTCTTTCTTTGCAATGAGGTCTAATTCTGTG